TTATAATCTCTGCATGCAGAAGGCTGAGACCTGATTGTCATGAGCTCAAGGCCAACCTAGGCACACAGTGAGACCTTTCCTCAAAAAACAAAACAAAATTAAAATTTCCATTTTGTTTGTTTGCTGGTGAGGCTGAACATTTTTTCTCTGTTTAAGATTGCTGCTTTATTATTTTTATTTTTTGTCGACAAGGTCTCACTGTATAGTTCAGGCTGCCTTTGAACTGATGTAGCCCCAGCTGCCCTCCAACTCCCACAGTCTCCTTCCTCAGCACCCAGAAGGGTAGGGTTACAGGTGTGCACCACCACGCCTGCCTTCTGAGGCACCTCTGGCCAGAAAGGATGCACAGTGTCCCTTCACTTCCTTTTTGTGCTTTGCTTTCATGTTCTCGCCTGTTTATCTGTAGCCAGACCCTTCTTACCAACACTCTTACTATGTTTTCCACCCATGGCTTCCCGGTTGGTTCAAGGAAAGAAAAGATGAGTGTGTCCGTCCTTGTTTGAGCCTGCCTTTTTGATCCATCAGTTTGTAATTTAAGCTGGCTTTGGGCGTGGCGCCCTTGGCTTGCTCCAGGGCTGTGGACAATGATACTCACATGGCCCTTTCCCTGCTTTCAGCCTCAGCTGGCATTGCCCTGTGTGTGGGAGCATGTGGGTGCTGAAGGGGTGGCCCAATGGTCTTATCCTTAGGATGTAGGAGGATGAAAGAGGGCAAAGGTGGTGAGCTGCCGTTTCCGGAATCAAGTGCTACAACTTCAGTTCCGATGCCCAGATTGTACCTTCAGTTTGAAAGCTCTGCAAGGCCGTGATTTGCGGCAGGTCTTTCAGGTACAGTATTTGATCGTGTTTTAGCTTAGCGAAAGCATTTGTGTACATGAACGGTTTTGCCGGGGGCAGGGAGGACGCTGGGAATTTAACCTAGGGCTTTGTTAAGTATGTGTTGTGCTTCCGAGCTCCACTCCCCACCCATCCTCGGGTTTCATGCCTACCATGGGGCAGCTTTGCCTAAGCAGCCTTCCCCCAGCACAGGTTACAGTGATTTACCTGCTGCCTTTGGTAACTGAGTTCAGAGACTAGGATTTATAGTTCAGTCAAACTTAGATTGGAAGTCTGTTGAGTAATGTCCATATGATCAGTTTTAGGTCAGGAGGTTTGGTAAGGAAATGAGTCTAAGTAGTTCACTAGGGTCTTTTTTTTTTCGTGGTACTGGGGATCGAACTCAGGACTGCATACTTGCAGAACAGATGCTTATGCCGCTGAGCAAAATCCCCTGCTCTCACTGTGAAGACCTGTTGCAGGAAGCTGGTAGGAAGCTGGGAGTGTTGTACAACATGTGACTTTTTCAACACATAGGTTTAGTGTATCAAATGACTTGAGTGCCACAGAGGGTCTGGAAGGTCCAGAGAGAAGTGTGTGTACTGGTGCTGCGTGCAGACGCAGCTTCTGGGTGGCTGCAGGGAGGCCTGAAGATCACGCCGCCCTTGGTCTGTGTGGAGCTTCGGCATGGGGGACACCTGCAACTTCCTTACTGACTTCCGTCTTGTGGATGACACTCTGATGTTCCCTGGGGCCCAGCAGCTGGTATAACTACTCTCAGCACCTGTGGTACTGGTCTGCTGAATCACAGCCTAAACATTTGGATTGTAGCGTGATTTCTGTTAGGTGCAGACCAGTGAGGGCAGTCAGCCTACGCAAGGGCCATGCAAGATTGGTCTAGACAGGTAACTTTGCCCCGTCTCTTGCTGCCTGGGGGTGGACACCATCCGTGCAGTCTGGCTTGATGTTCGGCCCTTCACACAGCTCCTTCCATTCAAGCATGGGGGAATTCCTTGCAGACTTCCCTGGGGATAACTCTGGAATGCTAACATGGCATTGTCTTGCACAGGGTCAGAACTACAGGTTCAGGGAAAGTTTATTTATAAACATTGTGACCTAAAAAATATCTTAAGCTTTGAACCAGAAAATGCTGTCTGGGTGGAAAGTAGAGTTAGTGCATTTTTTTCCTGGGAGTTGCACAGCCTGCAGAAGTCTGAGTGTTGGCCAGGCAAGTGCAGTGTCTAGAGGAGGCTGTTTGCAGCTCTGCAACCTGGTTAGTAGCAGGGGTTCAAACCACTGCTGCCTGTGGATCTGCTAACTGAAGAGTAACAGAGTGCGCTGGCGTTGAGGTGAGAGGTGTACTAAGAACTGTTGTTGACTTCTACACTTCCACTGCTGAGACTATTGGAAGCGAAGGGCCAGTGTTTGTGAGCTGCGCCTGGGGAGGCACAGGCGCTGTGTGCAGAATACAGAAAGCACGAGTGAGTGCTGCAGTGCCTGTGCAGGTTCGTCAGCTTGTGAGCAGAAAAAGCCAAGGTATGGATGGAAGCCTCAAGTTCCCTGGTTGGGATCTCTTATGATGTGATTTAGAGACTGGGCACATGAAGGAGAATAGCTCAAATGGGATCCTTGCCCATGGTACTTATTTCCTTTTTTGCTATGGCCTGTGGCTTAAAATTTTTAGGACATGTGACATGGCTTTTGATGGTTTCCTGTCAGCTTGAGTTTATCTATAACTTTCTTCCTGCTTCACTCTTGCCTAAGTAACCCAATTTGTATTGTCTTTACTTTAATCTGTATATATTTTGTTTACTTTTTGATCACTTTACTATTAATAAAGGTTTATTATAAGCTTCATTCAGAATGGGTCTTAACAATCCTTTGCCCATGTCCAACTCTATTTTGATGCCATGTTGCATAATAACACATATTTATTTGTTTTCATTGATTAAAGATGGGGACATCTTTTGTTCCTTACCCTAAAATAAGTTTCAGCTAGATAATTAAGTATAAAAAGTATAGCCATAGCAGTACTAAAAACAAAGAATGGCTCTTATAATCTTGGTATTTTCCAGTCTCTTGTCCAAGGGCCAGAAGTGTAGGGAAAAGAATCCTTTAATTTGGCCACATAACAAATAACATTCTATGCAGTAAAGTGTGGATACTAGGCAAGGTTGAAGCACACACAGCAGGTGGGGCAGCTACTTGAGGGCTGGGGCTCAGTGGCACAGGCACTTACCTGGCAAGCACAAGGTCTTGAGTTCGATTGCTGGTTCTGTCTTAAAAAAAAAAAAAAGAACTACTACAAAAGCATCAATGATTAAACCCTGGCAGAAAATGGAAAAAGGAAAGATACAGTGGACCAATCACTGTATAAAGCATTTTCAATTTCAGGAAGAATCCAAGTAATGTAAATAGCCATTTTTAAATCTATTAGACGAACAAAGGTTTTAATAAGGCCAACAGAACCCAGTATTGACACTAGGTGGGACGGCAGGCACCTGTGTAGCCAGGCAGTAGTGTGTCTTGGTTTGGCTTTTCTGCTAGGTGGCCTGGCAGTGTGCATACAACTTAAAGTATGCACACACTTTGACCCAGAAGTTTCCTTTCCAAGCACACTTTTTGCAGATCTTTGTGGAGGGTTATTTGACAATTTGTAGTTGTGGAAAATTGGAGAAAATATAAATAGTTCCCAGCATCAGGAATGCTTAAATGTTGGTATGCTTGTATAGTGAGATATATGGTGCCGTACTCATTTAGTTCAGTAGGCAGATAGGTAGATGGACAGGGTGAGCATCCTGGAGGAATTGTCCTCTAGGAAAGGGCAGCATGCCCATGCTTTTGAGGAGAGCTGTGACCTTGAGTTAGCTTGATGGGTGGCTGCCAAGAGATGAACTGGGTGGGGCCAACCCAGTCCTAGTTTTGCATCTGGGACTGCTGCACCCCTTTTGCATATATACCTGTTTGCTCCACTGGCTGAAGCAAGGTCATGGCTTTGCTCTCAGTACCATTCATTTCCCCTCCTGGTACGTTTCCCCTACCATGTGGTATGTAATGCTATCTCATTGGTGGTCAGGGGAATAGGGACTGGGTTGGCCTAAATCCAGTCCAATAAAACCAGAGACTTTGCTGCTCAGTTAACTGGAATCATCTTGGAGGACAAAAGGTAGCTCTCTTTTATGTACTTAAGTATGAAGTACCTGGGTTTTCCACTTTATCTTACAGTATTCTCTGTTTTCCAAAGACATGGCTGCTTTGTTTGTAATATTCTTCTCGTTTCTTTTCATTGCTTAACTCAATGATAGAGATGGCATTTAGTAAGCAGACAGAAAATGGTGAAATAAAAAAGGCCTCTTTATAGATGACTTTTTCCTTCCTTCCTGCCTTTCTCTCTCAGAGCAAAAGCAGAGCTGCTCTGTATTGAGGTAGGGTGTTGAGGTGGGAGGTGCAAGGGCAGAGCCCTCCCTTCGGAGGGGGAAAGCCCAGTATCCTCCACCCCTGGGGCATTATGTCCTGGTGTAGAGGAACTGCTGTGGATGTGGGCGCACAGACTCTCAGGACACAAGTCCAGCTGAACTGTGAGCCCCGCTTGTGACATTTTCCAAATACCCAGACTGGCATGATTCGATCAGTCTAGACCTGATGTCTGTGTGCAGTGATGTTTTTTGGTCTGGATTTTCTGGAGTTTGAAATGGAGGTCAGGAGAGTTCTGTGTGTTGCTCTTGACCTTCAGGTCACATCTTTGAAAGCTGGGCTGCATTGACATTATGACTTTGCACACCATTTTGAGCACAATGCACACGTGCACCTCAGGACGCCATCACCAAAGTGTATTGCGGGGCTTGTGGTCAGTGGATCAGATATAGCCCAGATCATTGGTGGGGACCTGTGGCATGTGTGCCATGGCTGGCTGTGTGTTATCATTGAAAGCTCTAAAGGGCTTGCTATCACTGATCTAGTCAATGTAGATTTTCCAATTCTTATGCCTCATTATCTTTAAGTGACCAATAAAGTACGGTTTTCTTTGGCAAAGGGGACTAATATTTACTATTCATTTCACGATAAACACTGGTAGCACAACCTGGGGAAACAAGGAGTGGAGGACCAGGGGCTGAGGTATGAAGTTTCACCTTTCAGAACCAACCATTAAGTATTCTAAACATTTATATGACTTTGTCTTTATAGACTGAGATCGCCAAGAGATTGAACACGATTTGTGCACAAGTCATCCCATTTCTGTCTCAGGAAGTAAGTAAAACTGTTCAACTGTTAAAGTGCAATTACGTTGTTTCTGTTTGCAGATTAGCTAGTTTTAAGATGTTAATTTTATCACAAGGAGCAAGCTTGAGGAACATCTGTTACAGCTGAAGTGTGTAAACCTCCTGCCATTCTAACACATCTGAGGGTATACTGCAGAAGTGGGGACAATAGTTCAACCCCAAATTAATTTTTTTATGAGAAACTGCAAAATGACTATCGAACACAAAGCTTTTGTTTTCTGTGAGTAGTATAAGCCTGCTAGCTCCTGATGATATTTTTATCTTTTTAAGTAGAGAATTTTTCTTGTGCTGACTGAAAAATGGCCCCATGGAGTTGACTACTGTGGACACATACTTCTTTACTCCTGGATCAAGTCCATTGACTTAATGCTTGCTATCTGTATCCCTATCCAGGGACTGGATAATAAGATAAAATAAATATTCATATCAACTTACTAAATCATAGATGTAGATCAGCCATTTCGTTTGGTTACAGAGTCACTGAGGTTTAACCTTAGTATGTTGAGAGGGAAAGTCTTTATGTGAGTAATCTATGACATTGACTATATGCTAGTTTTGCTTTGAAAGGTTTACCCTCCTTTTAGATACAAGCTAATAAATGCTTCAGTATGCACAGGATTAATGTATCTTGGGCCAGGTTGAGAAGATTGTTGAACTGGGAGTAAGAATACTGAATTTGGTTCTAGTTAGCATCTATTGTTCCATGCTGATTTACTGGCTTTTTGAATCTAGATGTTTCGACTTGAGTGGCTTTGGTCTCCATCAGTCTCAACTCCATCCCCCACCCCTGCCCCAGTGCCTTTTCAGTCTGTAGGTAGAGTCTGGAAGGGTGCAGGGTGATTTTCCACCCCCTGGCCTTAAGCTAGGACCTTCCTTTTCCCTGGCAGGTGAAGACTTGAAAGGCTAAAAGAAGAGAGGGAGTTCCAGAGTTGCCAAACCCGGACAGGTCACAATCTGTTAATCAGAGCAGGGACCGCAGCCCTGCGTGCACACCAGCATCGTGGGGCATGCTTTGCCATTCCCTGTTCCTGTGTTGTGTGAAACACGTGAGCTCGAGAAGCTGCTGTTTAAATCAGTGCTTCAGCCTTTACGGCGTGTAGTGTGCCTTCGGTTGTGGGCTGAACAGGGATGCTCTTGATTCCTGCTAACACGCCTTCTTCTTGTTTTCAAAGCATCAACAACAGGTGGCCCAGGCTGTGGAACGTGCCAAACAGGTGACCATGGCAGAGTTGAATGCCATCATCGGGGTACGTGGCCTACCAGGTCTACCTCCCACAGTGTGTATAACCAGCTTTCATTTCTTAATAGTTTGGTGGCTTAGTGTACATGTATGTGTGTGTAATATCATGTAGCCTAATGTTGACCTGTTTGATGGGGAGAGCTGGAAGAGGTTTGGGGTGTGCTGAGCTGTTCATGGGAACAAAGATTATTAGGAGGGAGAAAATCAGTGCAGTTTATCACGTGACTGTGCTTAACTGTCTTTCAAGTGAAAACTTTGGGCAGAGGTTTGAAGACTCTTCTTGCTTCTGTCTTAGCACATGTGACCATAGGGAGGTACAGACAGATCTCGGGCTATTATTTCACTGAGTTCTCTTCACTTCTGCCTTCTGCTTTCCTGGGTATATGAACCTGTGTGATGCATTTGCTCGTTTGCTTTCTTGTGCCTCTTGCATGAATTTCTAAGTGGCACAGTCCTGAAGGGCACCCTCCCACTTGAGGAAGAAGTGCTCATTGTCTGCCTAGCCCTCCTTGCTAGCCTTTCTGCAGCTTCCTGCTCTTTGGTGGGCTCCAGGCTGGCCACTGCATCAAGGAACCCATTGGACCTTGTGTCCCATCCCTGCTTGTGTTCCTTCCTAGCGTCCGCAGGACCCTGGCGGTTCTCATGTGCTGTGGCCAGTCCACACTAAACGCAGGATGCAGCTGAGACAGGGAGGGAACATTTTGATTTTATTCATATGTGAGCACCCTGAGCTGATTCAAATCACTCATTTGTCAATTTATGTTAATTGCTTGTGAGAAGATGCCCTGCTGGTCTTTATAGTTCCCTCAGACACTTTGTAATGGTAATTAGACATGCTGCTGTATGGATTAGGAGTCCCTAGTCCAACCAGGGCCACAGACAATGGGACCAGTTAATCCATCAGTGCTTAAAATTACATCCCGACTGGAGAGGAGAAAAACATAAGAGCCGAGGAGGATTAAAGAATGAGCCTCAGCTTGAAAACTCTCCTTTCATCAGTTTCTCAATTGCAGATCTGCAGTTGGGTTGCCTGTGGTAAGCTATTGGCAGTCAATTAGGTGAAATAAACTGGGAGGGTGACCTTCATTTCCTTTTAATAGCTTTTTCCTCCCTGAAATGGGGAGCTTCAGTGGATTTTCAGCTTAAATTTTATTCAAGCTGCTTTATTACACTTGACAGCTTAGCTCTGCATAAACAGTTCTCCCTCCTCTCCCCTAGACCTAGGCACTGCCTCTCTTCCCTTCAGGATCACATTTTTGACTGTTACTTAGTGGGCTGTAATCACATTCAGCACCAAACACAATTACATCTGCATTTGTCTGCTGCCTTCTGTACCCTTTTCTAGTGTAATGAATTGCTTTATTTCAGAGATCAAATCAAATATTCACTGGTACTTTTGAATGTACCATGTTTGATTAGCAAAGAGTAATAGTGAATTGTACTTGTAGCTTGAGTACAGAATTTTTAAACCCAAATGAATGAGGATGGAAAAGCCTGTTTTGATTAAAGGGAAACATATGCAAAGCAATTCTGAAGTACCCAGCTAAACTTGGAGGAACATGTTTGTTTTCTAATAGGCTGTAGGTTTTTCACATATAATTTTTCAGGGTAAAAGTCTTATATCTAATCCCTCAGAGGTACTGCCCAGCCCCTTTGAGCCTCAGAATCTACACTTGATAGATAAGCCAATTTCAGTAACCAGGTGTTTATAGGTGCTGCCCTTTTGAGAGGAATCAGAAAATAAAAATAGATTACTTTAGAAGGGCACGTGAATGGCTGCTTTTTGGAGTGGCTTTCATCTAGGAAGATGCTGGTGAGATTATACAGGCAGTTTAAGCTTTGATGGTGAATTGGGCCAAGCATGTGACTTTGGCCCCTTGCATGTCCTCAGCATCCTGGCATGTGCAGTTATTATCATTGAAGGTTTTGGATCAGTATATTAATTTACTGATTAAATTAGGCAGAGGCTCTTTTAAAGTCTGCCATGATCAATAATTATCCTGCAGTGTAAGTTTTGTGCTCTGTCATATGTTTGACTTTAACTTGAAAGGAGCTGTGTGCATCCTGGAAAATCGAAATAGCATAAAATTGGGTTGACAATTCCTCAGACCTTCTCACCCGGTCGTTGAACATGCAGTGTGTCAACCTGTCTCCCCGGGGAGGAGGCACCCGGCCGGTCTGTTCCTACAAGCAGCAGCTGCGCTCAGAGTCACTGTGGCCTGATTTGATAGCAGCTGTCAGTATTGTTCAGGGAGCAACTTGGGGTAAAGAACAATGGAAGAGGCCAGGCTCTTGGTCTGCATCTCTCTTAGTCTGCTTCAACTTTCAGGCTATGAAAAGAAATAGTAATTTAACGGTTGAGACATCTATTACCAGTGTGAGAGATCATGAAAGAGCACCCTTTAACATGCAGATGAGCCCAAACATTTTCTCCCCCTTTAAGGTGCAATCAGGAGCTCCCTGCTTGTTGTCAGGGCTAAGGAGGCTTCTCTTCAGCTGAGGACTCCATGCGTCCTAGCTGGTGGGTGGGTGGGAGCTCAGCCCTGTCCTGGGCCTGCGACTGCCCTGCAGGAAAAAGGATTGTGTTCTTTTCTGCCCTTGTGCCATTTTTGAGTGAGGGATGGTGCCCACTTTTTGCTGGTCTAGAGATCTTGGCTTGCGGGACAAAACAGACTGCACTTTAATTCTTTCCTACTTGCCTTCCAGTCCTGTAAAGTACTGATACTTTAAAAATAGATGCATCTTACATAGTTGATATTTATACAAATTGCTGAAACATTTTTGCTGAATTTTGAAAAATAACTTCTACTGAGCGGCAAATATGACTGGCAGAATAGTAACTGCACCTGCGTGGAATCCTGCTTGTCACAACTCTTCTGGGTTGTGTGTTGCACTCTGGTAGTGCTAAAAAGGCCGAGTAGTAAACACAGCGAGCTTCATGGGCACAGAGCTTGTCTAGTTTGACACACTTCCTGGCTTGGAAAGCAAGGGGAGGAAAAAACATCCTTTTGAGATATTAGGTTTTTAGGTCAGGGTCATTTTCAAACTTTCAGCAACATTCTTCAGACTTTTTTTTTTTTAAATTTGGAGTTGGGTTAAGAGTGACCAAAATGATACTAGTTGTTACGTGCTATAAAATCTTCATTTATGGAATCAGTAAAGGCTATCTGGATTGGGAGAAAATTGATTAACTCTTCAAGACCACTTTGCTATTTAAGGAGTTTAAAATTAAAAGCTTGCTTTTACCTGCCCTGATGAACACTATTTGATTTTAGTCAAGTGGAATTCCAAATAATACTTTCCTTTAAACAAGTTTACGTCAGAAGTAATTTTGTAGATCTGACAGTATAGATGCACACATAGGGAGATACATTTCTGTACACATACAGGGATGGTTTTTCATTTTAGAATTTCTGTGTAGTGAAGTAGGCACAGCTACACATGCCCAGGGCCCACACCCGTGAAATGTTCTATCACCACGGCAGGTTCCCTGTACTTTTGAGTCCGTTTTCTCACCCCTCCAAATGAAGTAGTTACTTTTAGTGAAAAGTAATCAGTCCATCAATACTAGCTGAGTTTGGATTTTGGGGGTGGTAATTAATACCTTAGTTGAGGCATGATGTTTTTGTGTAGTTCGTGTAGTTTGTGCTGACCCTTCTGTCTCAGCCTCCTAAATGCTAGGGTTGTATGCAGGTGCTTTAAAGAAAACAGTTGCATAGTTGTATTTTTCATTCCTTACTCACTACTTGAAAGCTTTTGTGGATTTCTGTATTCCCCTTGCATTGTGTTGTCTTGGACAGAAAGCATAGGTCCATGATCTAGGCAGACTTGCCTGTCACTCACTGCTTTGTGACTTTGTGGGGTCAGTTAACATCCACCAGTGTACTCCAGCAGTGGGCAGCGCTGCACATGGCTTTGTGAAGTCTAGGACCTGGCTGGTAGCATCCTCAGTCTGTGCTCTGACTCCCTGCTCGCATGGTTGCATGTGCCTGGTTTCTTTGAGTCCCTGTAACTGATCTGGGGTGCAGTCGGCCTCACCCCCATTGGGGCCATTACTCTGAGTAGCAGATCACTTCTTTCTTTCCTAGTGGTTTCATGGATGTGGGTATTTAAAATTGGATCCAGCTCCTGCCATAAAGCAATCTCGAGTGAGTGCCTTTTAATAGGAACACAGTGAGGAAGCACCACCACGTAGATTTTGATGAATAAATTTAAAACTTCAAACTGAGGAAGTAAAAGATTTAAGAGCAGATGCAGCTGGGCATAGGGGTGCATACCTATAATCTCCCCTCAGAAAGCTGAGGCAAAAGGATCGTGCAAATTTGAGTTCAGCCTGGGCTATATAATGAGTTCAAGGCCAGCCTGGACTGTGTAGGGAGAGACCCTGCCTTAAAAAACAAAAAAACATAACACCAAAAAGCAGGTGGATATTGAGTTGAATGTCCAGATGTGAGAACAGAACATCCTTGGCTGATTGACTTCTTTCCTTACTGTGGAAAGAGGACGGGGCCACTGCAGACAGTTCAGGGACTCCTGTGGTAGAGCGAGCTGGCAGGAAAGAGGAGTGGAAGAGGCGGACACATGGCTGGCAGAGGGCATCCTCCTTACCCACAAAAGGCCATGTTTTGGCAGTGGCCTCAGTAATGACTGTTAAGGTGTAAAAAGATTCTGAGTTGGGTTTGTTAGGTTGTGTCTGTAATCCTAGCTACCTGGGGAGGCTGAAACAGGAAGAGTTCAAAGCTGTCCTGGGAAATTTATTCAGACTCTGTCTCAAAAAGTAAAATGAGCTGGGGAAGTAGCTTAGTGAGAAGGCATTGCGTTCAGCTCCCCAAGTATCACCAAAAAATACAGTTTCCCGTAGCAATACCTTTGAACTTCGGGAATTCAAGAAATGTGACGTTAATCTAGGCATTCATTGTTTAGTTTCCTTGCTATATGGTTTCTTTTTCATAATACAACAATATCAAGGCATATGTGGCCCCAGTTATTGGTTAGATTTGCATGTTTTTGCCTCATAAAACAAATCTATAACTGCTT